AAGATAAAGCATGCTTAATTGAATTGAGAAATATACAACTTAAGATTGAAAATCATATTAAAGTGGAAATGAGAAATATTATAAGGATATTACTAAGTAACTAACTTCAAAGTAATTTAAGTAAGGAAATAAATACTTATTCAACTTTTAGGAAAATATATGTTATCGATTCAAAATGGTTATCTTTTGGGGAATTATGAGTTAAGAACCTTAAAATTAATTAGCAAATAAAGATGTAGTAACAATAAAATTAACACAAAATATATAATAACGAGAGAGGGAGATTTGGGCCCAAGTCTGGTTTCTGTTGGCCTGGGCCAGTACTTGGGCCTAGTTCGAATTTGAGTTTCTTAGCCCACTTCAACCTGTCCTAAACTAATATAGAGGCTGATTTCTTCTTTAGGTTTTTGGGCCCAAGTTCCACTTGCCCTAAGCTAGCAAATAATAATAAATAAGACAAAGGGGACTTAGGCCCAAGGTAACAAAATACAAACCTGAAATTTTGAGGCTATTTAGCCCATTTTTAATGCAATATACATCGTATACAACTGATGTATATCGTTGTATATTATGCATATCCAGCCTTTTAATCCTCTCCGAACACCTGTACATCGGCTTTAGGGAACATATTCTTTAATTTTATTGATTTGGTTGACTCGATAAAAGAGAATTGGGCCTCCTTGGCCTATTTCGAGATGCGAGGAAGAACATAGGATTTCGAGATGCGAGGAAGAATATAGGATTTCGAGATGCGAGGAAGAACATAGGAATTCATGTAGAACTCGGACATATTTCACATGCAAATGATAAAGAAATTACAGAATTAGCACTTTTAGGAATGAAATGAAGTGATAAGACAAAAAATGAATAAATAAATGAAATAACATATGCCAGAGTCATTAACAACACAACATTTAAACACTAATGTAAATGGAAAACTCGTGAAGACTTAATATTTTTTTATTTGTAGGGCAATGGACAGTAATGGGGCAAAAGGTCAAAGAAAAATTAATATCCTTTCCAGAAATCAATAATGAAAGAAACAAAGGAACCAAATTCAATATCCTTAGACTATTAATATTAAGCATGCTAGTTTAATTAAATAATTGTTTTTCTAACAATATGAAGAGAATAGCAGTGACATAACCCAATGAAATAAATAACACGGACTAGATTAGATGAACAAAACACTTCCAAATTCAAGTTAAGACATTGATTATCGCTTCCCGTGTAAAACAAAACAAAGCTCTCATCTCGCATCAAATATTTCTCCTTCTGAGTAAAGCGGGTTCATTTCCACATACATGAATCAACACTTAGATTGCGAGACATGAAAATCAAAATAAGGTGGACATATAATTCTAAACAAACAAGCAAGCTAAACTCGAATATCTACAGATCCTAGTTCTTTGATTTGATAGCTGACTGACTCAGAAAGAAGGAATTTGAGCCTTTATGGCCCTCCCGAAATGCAAGAAAGGAGGTGGAAGTTCGTAGTGAACTCGAGTGGATTTTACATACAACATACAAAAAAAAAGTATTAGCGTAATGCAAAGTTCCTTCAACAAAAAATAAATTAATTAATATCGATTTGCAGCATACAACCACATCATTTAAATATAATATTTTAAGATAACGACACGTGTAAGTATTATATGAATCATGCTCACTTTTTACACAATCTCAACAATAACTTTTTAAACATTTAACAACTTATATAAATACATTAAAGGAATCAGCAACTAAACTAATTCATATCTAAAGTTATGGACCAAACTCACATTAATCAAGAAATCTGGAACCAAAAACTCATGCTAATCTAGTGCTTCCTTAACATGCAGAAAATGGACCCATTTTCAAACAAACAAAAAAAAAAAACACGAAAGTAAACTTAGACTAAGATAGCAAGATCATAATCAATATTGATGCTACACTCATGCTAACAAGAAACTCTTTACACATTTATGAGAAAACAATCAGCCAACCATGATGAAATGATCAGAAAAAAGGAAATAAGCATTGACTTCGAAAGCAAAGCAAGGATTGAATCGAACTATAGTCTGGGCGGTTACAAGACTTCGCGTCATATGAGTTTAACTACGAATGGTGAACATTTCCGACTAAACATTTAGGCAGAATAAACATGAACTCGAGCGTAACATATATTTCTAACATTTAAAATAATCATGGGACTAAAAAAATGAAGAAAACAGGCCAACAGATCAATGAGCCATGGATGAGAGAACACATACAAAATCCATATTAAAGTTAAAAATTTTGCTCCTATTTTGAAAAGAAATGACATTAACAGACCAAAAGAAAGGATCAAAATATTGCATATCCACGTAGAGAAAACCAGATAAATACAAAGATCAGAAGCAAAACTAGAATTTTTTATTTAAAGAGCTCCTGAAGTTAGACTTACACGAAAGATGCGTTCTATATTTCAAACTAAAAGCATATCAACATCAAACAAAAAAACTAAACTTTAAACATCAATACTAGACCAAACGGAATAATAGATGCATCCTAGAAAAGGGAAGAAGGGAAAGAACAGACGTAAACTCTCATTTCACAAAACAGAAGCAGACAGAACGAGCTGGCATCAAAAGGAACTTTACCTTTTCTGGGGCAACAAATGGGGATGGGATGAGCAAGAAGCCGACCTTCCTACCACAAGAACTCGAACACGAACAGTGGACAAGAAATTTGAGCAGAAAACTAAACCCAAACACCTTAAAACTATTGTATCGTCTGCCTCCGAAACGTATTTAGCTTGTATTTAAAATACTAGTGCTCAAGCCTTTCTCTGTATTTTTTTGCTAAAATAAAAATCCAACCCCTTTAATGAAGCAAATGAGGGGCTTATATAGAGAAATTCTAGGGTTTTCGATTTTGGGGGGTTAAAGGGATGAAAATTGGACGAGGGCAAGGGCAAAAATGAGAATTTTCATCCAATCTCCGATTCAAATATTTTTTCAAGGACCAAGGAACTATTGCTTGCACGAGAAAATCCAAATTTCCAGCGAAAAATAAAAAAAATGTGAAGTGGACGTGAGCGGCCCCGATGGATTCTTTGTCCTTGTAGCTCGACGTGGCACCAATCTACGCGAGTCAAGGACAAGGTTGCAGGCGGCTATTGCAGAGAAAGCTGGCTACCCCTCCTGTACGAATGAGAGAGACGCGGATAGAGTTGTCTGCATAAGTGTGGTGTAGGAAAATGAACGTTGGCTGCCGATTTCCGTGAACTCGCCCTTCGCGTAAGGAGGATATGGCGTCTAAGGGTCATCTGGGCGTCATTCACGCGTTGTTGTTGCTGTTACGCCGTGTATCGCTGTGATGTTTGACGTTGTACTGCTGCTCCTGGGTTTTTATTGTGTTAGAATGGGCCGGGTTGGAGGTAAAGAGAGTGGGCTGGGTTGAGAGATTGGAGAATTGGTATGGGCTGCTGGAGTTGATTGGTTGAGAATTGCTGATAGTGTTTTGGGCTTTTGGTATTGCTGATGTATGGTGTTGCTGAAAATTGGTTAATGGGGAAGAAAATAGGCCTGGGTTGCTGAAAATTTAAACAAAAGGCCCCAATTCTTTGTCTTTTTAAATGGGTTAGGGATAAAATTAGATTGGTTAGATTTCAGAGTTTAAACAATAGCCAAATCGAGTTAAATTAACAAATTCGGCTAAAACCTAAACAAGATGAAATCATATAAATTAATTACTGAGCTTCTTAATCTTAACAAAATTAAATAACTAACTTAATTATGAACTAATTGATAAAAAGTTATAACCCTAACTTTAAACTAAACTAATTTTAATAGAATATTTAAAATTAAATCTTTTCGAGATGATTTTTAAATATTTATAGAATATACTAATTATAGATATATAAAATTATATGAAATATATTTATTAGTTATAAATTATGAAAATCGACCAAAATCACTTAAGATAACTTTGAAAAGTATTTGAATTTTATAAAACTATTTATTCTAAATCGTTTGGAAATTAAGAAGCTCGTGAATTAATTCCTATCAGGGAGGGTCAAAATTGGGTGTCAACAACTGTCCTTCGTTTTACTCGGATTGATGCAAGAAATTCGAGAAAAATGAAATTGACTAATCCAATTTTGACCGACCACATATTTATCTTTTGGAAAAGAGATTTTGGTACGGACTTTAGGAATTATGGTCGAACCTCGAAATGGGTTTCCTACATATCTCAGGCTATATGAGAATTTAGGCCATTTGTAGTTCGATACGTTTGATTTAATGCACAATTCTGCAAGAGTTCATAAGCTATCCCGATATCGAATTATGAAGAGACCGAAATGCTTGAGAATAAGATTTAAGAGCGAATATCGGAATACAACTGAGTTTTCAACATTGATCCCGCCTACATATCTTTCAACTCAAGGAATCAGGTTGTTTGTAGTTTGACTCGATTGGTTGAAAACGAAATCTCTTATGCTAAGATATTTTTCGGTTGGGAAGGAGTGACAAATAAGTTGAGTATGAAAAGGAGGTTTGCAACCTCTTAGCCATGAATGTGGCATGTTTCACGCCCATAAATAAGAACTTGCACATACATACTTTCCAAAGCTCTTGGCTTATTGTCACTCCGATTGGAAAACTTCTTCCAGTGGAGACCAAAAATTTTCAGGTGCAAAACTAAAATAGACAAACCCAAAGAAAAACCCACATGTCTTCTGATAAGGGTGTGGTTTGATTGTGGTGGAAGTCGCTCTTTCACTCGCGA